AAGAGCGGAACGCATGGTTCGTTACATGAAAGAAGCATTGGAAAAGCTTGACGGAAACGATATGCAAGAAAAAATCATCACCATGCTCACCATCCAACATATAACACCATGCACGGCAACAAACAAGAGCCTGGCTGAACTATTGATGGGAAGAAAGTTACGTTCCTACTTGGATAGACTGCACACCACTTACAACCCAGAAAAGCCACCAGACTCTTCCAGTAAGTACCGCTCTTTCTTACCAGGCGACTTAGTATATACAAAAAACCTTACCGGAGAACCATTGTGGTTACTGGCAACAATCACACAAATCACTGGCCCTCGTTCCTACCAACTAGAAACAGCTGACAGCAGATCGTGGAAACGACACATTGATCAACTACGGACGCAACACATCGAACGAGACACCGACGTTCCCCAAAGCGCGGAACAAACATTTTCCCAAGCACCCCCCCAGATAATAATAAAAAATCCAGACGGGGGGGAACCCTTTAATAATAAAGAAAATGAAAATCATCCGGTTACAAAACACCAACTGGAAACAGAGAACCAAGAAAAAAATAAAAATCACATACAATTAGAAGACTTCGAGAAAAAAGAACTGAAGGAACCTCAGGAAAGAAGCAGCCAAGCCGACTCTACCTGCCCACACACAATGTGAGGAGACCACACCGTCCGTCCAACCAACCCAGGGCGCAGCAAGAGCCCAATCAACCCAACAAGGCACAGTGGGAGCGGCATGGCTGAGGCACCCTTCCAGGAGGTTCCAAGGAGAAGAATGGGAAGGACTGTCTGAACCTGTCCGAACCAGTGGAGACCAACACAGGGACTGAATTGCGCAGGTCAACTAGGACTCACAAGAGCCCCGCCTACCTGCGTGATTACGTCACGTAACGTTGGAGCGAACCAAGAGGGAAGGGGTGTAGTGTATTCAAATAGAGACTTCTAAGACTACACTCCTATTGGTTAGTTAATGCAACGTAACGATTGGTTAATAACGACAGTTTCGGATTGGCTGCCTAAGCGGCAGGAAGTTTAAATAAATGCCATTGGTTGCGAGCCGCGAGCAGCCGCTATAAAAAGGGCTGCCACGGCTCGACTTTAGTTGAAGTTACTGGTTAGTAATAAAGAGCTGAATTCAACTCCGGTCTTTGAGTCTCTTTTGTCCTGGCGACAGAACACTATCCATCCATACATCCAAAATGTCTGTCTGTCTGTCTGCCTTCCTGCTTACCTACCTGCCTGCCTGCCTACCTGTCTTTCTGTCTACCTACCTACCTATCTACCAATATAGATTTACCCACCCTATCTACCTACTTATCTATCAATCTACTTACCTACCTACCTACCTACCTCTCCATACATTCATCCAAAAGGTCTGCCTGCCTGCCTATCTACCTATCTACCAATCTACCTACCTACCTACCTACTTGTCTCTCTCTGTCTGTCTGTGTCTCTCTCTCTCTATCTATCCATCCATCTATCCATGTTCGAAGTGCCAGCCCCGCAGGCACATTGGGAAAGTAGAGCAAAGCCAGTCTGGGAGGGAGGGAGGGGGAGAGAGAGAGAGAGAGAGAGAGACCTGATGCATCTGATTGAAATGAGGCTTAGTTTAGACTCAGGCCCTTTTCCACATTGAAACATCTTTGCCAACACATTGAAACATCTTTGGCTTCTATTAAAGGTTTTGTGGACAAAACATGGTCAAGACTATCAGGAAGCTCTCACATTTTGTTGAGGCTTTAAACAGGATCTATTGGACCAGATCTCCACCCTAAAAATTACTTTTCCCCAATGTATTACAGTGCCAATTCTGAAGAAGGCAAAACCAAAATGTACTGGTAAATTACAAGGAGAACACACACACACACACACTCACTCACTCTCTTCTAACCCTGCTGGAGCAGGTGATTGGACTGGAATAGATGTCTCATTATCTTTCTCCTCCCTCCCTCCCTCCCTCCTTCTTTCTTTTTCTTTCTGTCCCATACTTCCATCCCCCCCTCTTTCTTTGTCTGTCCCTTTTTCTTTCTTTCCCTTTTTCTTTTCTTCCTTCTCTCTCTCTCTTTTCTTTCTCTCTCTTTCCCTCTCTCAGGCTCACCCCATTGACTTGACTTGCTTGGGCAGGTCCCTCCAATACAGTGGGCTCAATGGGGTGGACCTGTGGGCCCAGCACCTAGAACAGAGCAGTGTCGGCATGTTTGAAAAGTAGAGCAAAGCCAGAGGTCAGTAATTTTTGCTGCAAAGAATCACAAGAGCTTCTGGGTTGTGCACAAGAAGGGACACACATGTCAATGCAATTCAGCAACATAAAATAATAAAATACAAATAAAACAAATCAACAAGAATCGGCAAAGCATCTCTGATTAGATTTTATTCACTGCTAGAATCTAATCAGAGATGCTTTGCCGATTCTAGTGCAATGACCTGCTCCAGCAGGGTTAGAAGGGAGTGTGTGTGTATGTGTGTGCATGGCTGTCAAAATTCCAAAAACGGGTCAAGTATCTCTGGGGAGGCCGGTCATAAATTAGAACACTTGCTAAACAACCGGTCATTAAGTGAGGACTACTTGTATTTGGTTTACCAGTCACCTGGCCACGCCCACCCAGTCACACGACCACCAAATCACACCTAGCCCATCTTGTGATCAGCAAGCCATGCCCAGCCAGCAAGCCACGCCCACAGAAATTTGAATCCCACCCCTGGGTGGGGGGCACTGAGGATGAGTTTGTAGCACCAAGGGGGCGGTAGACTGAAAAAGTTTGGGAACTACTGACTTATAGTGTCCTGTAAAGCTTTATACATTTCTGCTGGCAGGCCATCTGACCCCAATGCCTTTCCATTATTTTGTCTTTTAATTGCTTCCATTAATTCCATCGTTGTAATTTTCCCTTCCAACATCATTTTAGTTTGTTCTGACACTTTAGGTAGTTCCATTTTCTTTAAATATTTCTCTATCTCTCTTACCTCCACTTGTTCTTCTTTTATGTAGTTCTCTATAATACTTTTGTACTATTTCTTTTTTTATCTTCATTTCTATGACACAGATTCCTTTTATCACCCATTAGTTGAGATATCATTTTCTTTTCTGTCTCTCTTTTTAGTTTATACACCAACCATCTTCCTGGCTTATTTGAATTTTCAAAGAAATTCTGTTTAGTATGTTTAATTTTTTTTGTGCTAGTTCTTTATCTATTATTTCCATTTTATGTTTTGTCAAAGTCATTTTATTTTGAATACCTTTCCTTTGTGGATTTTTTTGTAGTTCTTCTTCCAGTTTCTTATATTCTTCTTCTAACACTTCCTGTGCCTGTCGTTTCTTTCTATTTCTCTTTCCAGTATATGTTATCGTTAGTCCTCATATAAGCTTTAGCTGTGTCCCACACATTTTGTAATGAAGTTTCTTCTTTTTTATTTTGTTCAAAGAAAAATTTTAAGTCCTTTCCCGTATATTCTTTTCAATATTCAATATATTCTTTTTCTCTCAATATTAGATTATTCACTGTCCATCTTGCCCTCTTCTTTAGTCCTTTCCATGTTACCTTAATCGGATTATAATCTGCCCATGTATTTATTTCAATACTTATGTCTTGTATATTAGCAATTATCTCTGTTGTTGCCCATATCATATCTATTCTAGACCAAGATAAATGTCTATTGGAATAAAATGTATATTGTCACTTTTCTGAATATCTTTCTCTCAATGCATCCTGAATTGCTAGCTCATCTGTCATTTTAAAAATGCCTTAGGAAGTATTTTTCTATTCTTTTTATTTGTCCTTTTTGTTTTATAGTCCTTTTCTACATCTACTATTGTGTTGTAGTCTACAATAACACAAATGTGTTCATATTCCAATTCTGTTATTTTTTAAGGTAATTTATCATAAAATTCTTCTTGATTTTCATTTGGGGCATAAATTGCCACTAGTAGTATCTGTTTATAATTCATCAATATTTCAACTATTAATATTCTCCCTTCATTATCTTGGTATATTAATTCTGTTTTTATACTGTCTTTTATATATAACATATTCCTCTCTTACTTTGCTGCGCCAATGTAGTATGTAGTCTTCCAATCTTAGGATAGTCTAATATTTTCTCATGTTGCTTTTTAATATGCACTTCTTGCAAATGAATTATATCCAGATTTAGTTTTTCTAATTTAGTGAATATTCTTTTGCTTTTAATTGCCAAGTTTATTTCATTTATATTGATCGTCATAAACTTAATTTCTTCTTCCATATTATTATTTATGATATGCTCTGGTCACTCTTGTCACTCTCATCTCTCTTTGGTCTCTTGGTCTCTCTTCTTCCCTTGTTGCTCTCACTTCCAGTTCTTTTTCTTCTTCTCTTTGTTGTCTCTCCTCCCTCTCTGCAGCTTCTTCTCTCAGTTTTATTTCATCTATCTCTCTTCTCTTTTCTCCTTCATATTCTCTAAAATATTGATCATAAAATACTTCTGCTTTTTCAATTGTGTCTAGTTTTTGCTCTCACCATGTCACCATTATTCCCTCTGGTATCAGCCATCTAAAGTTAATTTCTCTTTTTATCAAACATTTTGTCAGAAACTGATAGTCTCTTCTCAAATCTCTTACAGTTTTTGGAATTTGTTTCAACACTGTTATCTCCTTTCCTTTATATTTTAGTGGTTCATCTTTCATTTGAGTTGTACAATTCTTAAAAAGGCTTTCCACTATGTGGGTACAGTAAAATAACAAAATCTTGCATAACTACTGTCATATTCATATTTAAATGGTATTCTTGGAAAAACAAACAGAAAACATTTCCTTTTGACCAGTCAGAGGGACCAAATTTAATTGAAATGCATTAGATTTAGAAGCCCAGAACATCTTCAATTTTCAAACCACTAGCATTTAAACTCTAAAGCATTTCTCAAGTCTTTCTTTACTTTAGCCTTGAATAAAAGCTTTGTTTTGCTTTGTTTCTTTTCAGAAATGGGTCAAATTTAAGAGAGATTTTGATAATTTTAAGACACAATGTATACCTTGGGAAATGAAAATAAAAGAAGTTGAAAGTAAGTTAATATTTATCTACATGTCTGAACATTATTCTCAACTCATAATACATAACCTGTCCTCTTTCACAAAATGTATGAACTATTTTCAATATTACTCACAAATCAGTATTCAAGTAAAATATTTTATTAGCCATCACCATCATTAAAACGTTAATATCATCTTTATCTTGATGTTCAGCCTTGGTCTCTGATACTACATGGAAGGAAAATCTTAATATTTACCTGGAAACTGAGTTGCAAAATACAAATAGCTATTTCATACAAATAGCTATTTCATACAAATAGCTTGTTTTCTCATTATGAGTATGTTGTCATTTCACTACGGTGTCTGCAGAATTCCCTCAACTTTTTTTTAAAATCACTTTTTCCCAACTAATAAATTCTACTAAAACACATACAGTATCATAAACTGCAGTTCCATCTTATCAGATGGAATGGATAGACTGATGTAGGTTCTTTTCCTATCCATACGATTGGAGCCATTATGGGATCTTTCATAAGCCTGTAAAACATAGTATTTAATTTTGGGGTTTTTTTAAGCAGTCTAGTTTCTCTTTGTTGTTTGGGAAAACCCTCCTTGAGTTGCCCATTGATGTTTTTACATCCACAAATGTCTGCTGATTCCATTCATTCATACATGCTCCTACATATTACAGAGCATCTCTTTTGAAGAATTCCTCAGCCCTATTATGATATATTGCAGAAAGCCTAAGATATATTTGGTGGAAAGAAAAACTAATTAAAATCTTCCAGGAAAAAATGAAAAATATATTTCTCTATGGCAATTACTTAGATTTGCTTATCATGCCAATCTTATAAACCATTAAAAAACACATAGTGGAAATCTTTTTGGAACTGCTCTATAAAGAAAGGTGCAAATAATGGTGAAAGAATGCAAGAGCTTAGCAGATCAAAGACATAGTAAATGATATCTCAGCCATGGGAAAAATAGGGTTATGTGGAGGGGGCACCCTCAAAGTAACCTTGCCTTGATTCTTCATGAGATATGAGGAAATTGACATCTTTTCAAAGTAGTGTTTTGATACTCTTCAACAACAAAAGAGTTCCAGTAATTTTGCAAAAATCTGTGTCTTGATAAGGCCTACCTCGAAGGGCTGACATAGTCCTACCATCAATTGAGACATCCTAGATATTTGAGATTGGATGAAGTGGGGGCATATAAAAGTTGACAAACACTGTTTGAGACAGTGAACAAATGTAAACTAACTTGGAGCTAGTGTTGGGATTCAGCCAGTTTGTACCAGTTTGGGCAAATGGGTTGTTAAATTACCCACCCCCCACTATCAAAGTGGATCCTGGGTGCTGTGTTGCACTGCAATGGAGAAATGGGCAATGGAGTGGCCAGTGCAAGAGAAGAGAAGGCTGCTTTCCCTCTTTCTTCTCCCTGCTTCTCCTCTTTTCCTTGTGCTGACCTCTCTGTTGCCTGTTTCTCCATTGCAGCACCAAGCAGAGACCAGGATCCACTTTGATAGCGGGGTGGGGGGTAATTTAACAACCTGTTCACTAGGGTAAGGTTGACCGTCACGGGAGGCTTGTCCCATATGTATGGTGGAGCTGAAGGATTAGGATGGGCCATGCCTCCCATGACAGTCAACCTGACCTAGTGTGAACCAGTTGTTAAATTATTTCAATCCCACCACTGCCTGGAAGAAATTATAAATATAATCAAATCAGTTTCAGTTTTAGACATTTGCTTCTTCCTCCTCCTCTGAAAGAACTTTAGAGAAAGAACTGAATGCATACAGTAGACACTCATATTTAAATTGGTAGCCCATTACAAATCCATCCTGTTCTCTGGACAAGTCAATTTCAAGAACTTTTCTAATGAAAGCTTATTTATTTTTTAAGGTCATTTTGGTTCTTCAGTGGCATCTTATTTCATATTTCTGCGATGGATGTATGGCCTAAACCTGGTTCTGTTTGGCTTAATATTTGGACTAGTTATAATTCCAGAGGTAAGTAAATAAATAGTTAATCTGAGAAGTGTAGTTAAGTACAGTATAAGAAGAGTTATAGGTACCAAATTTGTTGAAACTATGTATATAAAATCACAATACTTGTATCATTCCATGTAACTATAATTTTACACTTAAATTATTGGAAAAAATAATTTTTATCATACTAGTTACTTTCACTGAATTGATTGCCTATTTACCAATACCTATGGCTAGCTTACAATGTCCAAAATACAAAATAAATTTTTTAAAGTAATTCTTTCCATCCCAATTTTAAAAGATGACCCTGCTAAGAAAGAAAAGAAAACCAGATATGTTATATATCATCCTAGTTCAGAACTGTGAGAAGAAAAAATAGTAATATTTCATCTGTATGTGTACATATAGTATATAAAAATAAATACCTTGTAAAACAATGCAAAATTATCCTTTACTGAAAATCAGAACTAGAGCTTAAAAAAATATTTTATGTAGAGAGGGAAAAGGATTGAGAGAGGAAGAAAAATCAGAGGGATTATTCAATTCTAAACATGTCTAAGCAGAAACCCATCTAACTTACTCCCTGGTGAAAGTGGTAAGGATCCTTGAAATGGTGAAATGATTTAAATTAAAAAATGTATCCTTTCACAACATTTTCTCCAAAAGTACTGGAAAACATTCCTTTGATCAGATCACCTTTAACTCTAATTGGAGAAGGTTCATATTGCAAGCCAAGTGAAATGTTATCTAAGCTAGCACCGAATGGTTTCTCCATATACTGTATGTCCCAATATGGCTAGATAATAAAGCATATAACATGAAACTGGGCATATTGAAACAGAGTAGCACCATGCTACTGTCTTTTAAAACATAGTCTTTGGTTCCACTGAAGTCCCATGATGTCTGGGCAATATATGAAGTCTAAGATATATAGAGCAGTGATCGCCAACTAGTGGGCTGCAGATCCGCAAGAAAATTTTGGTGGTCCACAGAGCACCCCCCAAAGCAATTAACCCCCCAAAGCAATTAATCCAGGCTGTGCAGGAACACAAGGCTACATCTCCCACATGGCCTATGGGAACTGCTTGCATTGCTTGCATTGCGCTGCTTGCATTGCTTGCATTGCGCTGCTTGCATTGCTTGCATTGCGAACAACACGAGGTAGTGAGGGGAGGGGGGAAAGAGCAGGGAGGGAATTTGCCTCACTCGCCCCACGCACCTTGCCTGCCACTGGGCTGCTTCTTTCTACTTCTTTCTTCTGCTTTTGGCTGCATGCAAGGAAAGCAGCAAAAGTCTTTCTTTTTAAAAAAAAATTTATTGGTTTTTAAGATGAACATAGACAAACAAAACATAAAAATATCAAGCCATCTTCCATATATATACATACAGTGTGTTGGTTGGTTTACAAATTGTTTTGTGCTTCCATTTCATAGTCTTCAATTACAATTGCATTGTATATATTCTCATATTTTCAATCAAATATTAAATACATTAATATCATTGTTAATCAATCATTTGACTATACTTTTATTCATTCATGTTTTATGAAATAATCCATATTTTACTTAATTTGTTTTATGACAGTTCATATTATCATCTCAAATCTATCCTACAATCATTTTGTAGATATAATAAGAAAAGAATACATCTTTATATGTTTATTATTTTCTAAGAATCTTCATATTTCATTACCATGTTTTATTGTCTAACCATTGATAGAATAGATCCCAAATTTTATAAAATTGTTTATCATCTTGTTCTCTGATTTCAAATGTCAATCTACTCATTTCAGCACATTCCAATATTTTCTTAATAATTTCCTCATGTAATGGTATTTTCTCATTTTTCCAGTTTTTGGCAAATACAATCCTAGCCGTTGTTAATACATTTATAATCAGGTATTTCAATTCTTTACTATATATTTCAGGTAAAATTCCCAATAAAAATATCTCTAGTTTCAAGTCATATGCTTTTTTGTCATTTTTTCCAACCACGTGTGGATTTTAGTCCAATATTTTGTGAAGACTCGATAAACTTCATCTATTCCATCCATCATCTTCTCTCCAGTTATTTCCAAAGCTTCAGCCAAAATTTCTATCATTGTCTCAGCTAGGTTTTGTCCCTTTTCTTCCTCTATGTTTTGGAATCTGAGATAAAATTCTGATCTGTCCATCTCCCATCTCAACATCCCATTTTTATCTTGTTCAGCCACAGTTAATCTGCTATCAATATCTCCAATCTTCTTATCTCTTTGTTTATCTTCTTCAATTTTTTGGAATCTCTCATCATACTTCATCATTTGTTGAATGTTCTCCACCTTTTCATCAGTTTTTCCTGTTCTTTGTTCTCTGTTCTCTGTTCTCTTTTCAATATTCTCTGTTCTTTTTTGAATATTTTGAATTCCTTGCATAATCATCTGCAGGGTCACTTTTTCCTGTTCTTTTTCTTGCTGTAACATCGTCTGTATTGAATGTTGTCCTCCAGATGGTGAAGAGGAAGAAGTAGAAGTTGAGGAACCAGGGCTGTTAGTTTCCTACTCATTTCGGACAATTCAAAATCTTCAGGTTCTTCTAGACCTTAATCCACTTATGAAATAACCAATTGTAATTCCAAGTAAAAATAGTGGGTAAAAAGAAACCAAATAGTAATAATAATAATAATAATAATAATAATAATAATAATAATAATAATAATAATAATAATAATAAATTCTTCAGGTTCTTGTATACCTTAATCCAATCAATTGGTTAAATAGCCGTAAAAACTCAAAAATGGAAGAAAAGACCATAAACACACACAAAAAAGAAAAAATTGTTAAATCCTGGAAAAAGCGGAAAAGTAAAAAATAAAAAACTAAAGAAGAAAAAAGAAAAGTTCTTCAGATTCTTCAACACCTTAATCCAATTAAAAGGTCTCAGGTATAAAAGGATGCATAAGAAAAAAAAAGAAAGCCACAAAGATTTTTTAAAAAACCCAATATGGATGGTAAATAGAAAAAAAATACAAGGGAGGGAGAGAGAAAAAAGAAAAGAGACTACTCCCTTTAAAAAAAAGGAAGAAAATCATTAATACTAAAGCTTTTCCTTTAAAATAAAATGCAAACGTAAAAATTAGACTTCAAAAGACAAAAAGAAAGAGAAAAACAAGTTCCAAAAGGCCAAAAATCCAAATAGCTATTACAAAAAGTAAGCTAGTAAGGAGGGGGTTTGTTAAAGTAAGAAATAGCCCAGCTTAAAAAAAAAAAAAAACACTGCACCTTGTTTGGTTATCCAAGGCTTTTGTTAAAATTTATAACTCTCTTCTCCAGAGTCTTATCACCTTTTTTTTCTATAAACTTCAACACCAGACTCCAACTATTGATAGGAACCCAGAAGAGCACCTGCAATAATCTCCCATGCTCTTCCCTCTATCTTATCAAACAGCAATGTCTTTGTAAAGAAGTCTCAGTTCTTTCTCAGCTTTGTCTGGTCAAGAAAAAAAGAGATAGAATATTTCCAAGCCTCTAGTTGGCAGTGTTACAAAGTTTCTTCTGCTTTCACTTTCCCCCTCCTTTTCCAAACAAGATATAATAAAAATTAATTAAAAAGGGAAAAAGATATTTAAAAAGATGACTAAAAGGGAGTCTCTAGCCTAGAATATTATAAAGTCAAAAAGGAGAGAAAGAATAGGTGGAAGAAGAAAATAAAAACAGTCCAGTTTCAAAATATAAAATCATGTGTAGAAAATCCAGCAATGAGAAAAAAAATAAAAATATTACTTTGACTTCCTGTTTAAAATCACTTCTGTCAAAACTTTTACAGATTATTTCTTTTCCTTAGGGTGTCCTTTCAAATCTTAAAGTAAAGAAAAAGTTCTCACCAAACCGGCACACTTTCTCTTTCCATTCTCTTTCGTTTCGGAGCTGTCCCAACTTCAGCAGCTTTAATGGCTGCCTCTTTGCTGCTGGCAAAAAGAGCTTCTCCTGGATCTACCAGGGACTTTGCGGTATCCCTGGGATTGACAGGATGCACTCTTTACATTCATCATCTCTTCGGGACGGTTTAGAATAGATCCAATTGGACCGTCCAGGAGCAAAGATATCGGCAGCGATCTCAGACCTCCAAGATCGCATGCCGTATAGTCGTGACACCATCTCCGCCCTCCAGCAAAAGTCTTCTTTTCTCTCCCCCAAACTCCACCAGAAATAAGTCTTTGGGACCCTGCAAGGCATGCTGTTCCAAGAGGCTGTGCTGGCATGACAAGTCTTATAAAGACTCATTTCTGGCAGAGTTTGGGGGAGAGAAAGAAAGACTTCTGCTTCTGCTGCTTTCCTTGCATGAAGCAAAAAGTCTCTCTCTCTCTCTCTCCCCCTGAGAACAAAGCTGGAGATGGAATCCTGCAATCCCAAATAAAGAATAATCGATCAGTAGGAAAATGGGGTGGGAAATTTTCCTGCAGACTTTTTTGGGGGATTTTCCCAGGTTCTCTGCAGAAAAAGCAGAAGCAGCAGAGACACTCCTTGAAAAGATGGCCTAACCTTTTTTTCGGGGGTCAAAAGAAAATAAGACCCTGCCTTATTTTCTAAGAAACATAGTAGAAGGTAAGACCAATGGCGGGGGAGGGAAATATGCCCTAGAGTGGCTTGCTGACGTGGGTGGGAAAGTTGGTCCATATTCAACAGTTGCAATAACAGGACTGGCCTCCCGGAGCAGCTCTTGTGACTACTGCAGCTCTGGAATATGGGACCAACTTTCCCACCAACGTCAGCAAGCCATCATCAGTCAAAATTCATATTAGTGGTCCACGGGATTTAAAATTATGAGTTTGGTGGTCCCTGAGGTCCAAAAGGTTGGTGACCCCTGATCTAGAATATCATTATCTTTTTTCTCCAAATACCAAGTCATTACGATGCCTGCTATTTCATTCCTATTTAAATAAGTGTGTGTGATATCAATGTATGTATAAATTAATCCTAAGAGCTAAGTTATGGATTCCATTTATCAGCTATGAACTAAATATATATATTAGCACTTACCACCAATTACATTATTTGAGGTTGATATGCTACAGGCAACAATGTCATATCTCTTTTGGGTTCTAGGTGTATGCTGAGCTTGGCTTTTTGTAAATATTTCATGACTTATATAATATATATAATAATCAACATTTATACCTGAGAGAGTGGGTTTTTCTGCCTTTTTTCATAGTTTGTCTTCTGAGAGCCAAGCTATATTACTTGAATGAAAAATGGTTCAACAGTAACTTTTAGTTGAAAGTTCTGGCTCAGTGAACCTCTGCTTCTGATGGTTACATCTTGGGTGAATTAACTGTTCAAAACTGGAAAGAATGTACATCTTGTATTTCTTCTTTTTCCTTTATTTATTTTAAATATTTAACTTCCAACTGATGTTCCTTCTAGTTTTTCTCCCATTAGATCATTTATCATACCTTTGATAACAGATTTTTCTAAATATTAGCATCAACACTTTTGCTAGTATTATGTTTCAGATCAATTCTACCTGGCAATTATTACTTTTTTTTTTACTTATTATTTTCAGAATTTCTCAGAATACAAGTCATGGTCTTCTTCTCAACTGTTCCACAACCAAATAATTGTTTATTTTATCACTTTATTCAAATTGTGTATCAACTCTTGATGATTTTGGGTAGATCACAAAAAGCACAAAAACATGTGTTTAAAGTAAAATAAGAGCATAAAAGAAGCAAAGGTGAAAAACTGGGTAGCAACAAACACAACCAGTCATAAAGCTATATTATTTCAAATATTTATTAGCAAAGAATAAGCTATAAAGGACTTCAATATTTTGGTAAATATTTATATTTAGAAGTAGAATTCAATCAAAATATATTTAATGCACATTGAGAGACATTTGCTTTTTAATTCATATCTTAATTCTAATTCATCCCAGTTTCACACTTTACCAGGAGGAAAGCAAGTTGCTGCATTATTTATTTTGTTCGATTTCTTTTGTGAATGGATATCATTTTACTACAATTGTCTATTTAGCTTCTTTGAGCTTTTTTAAATTCATGTTTGTATCATCATGCAGTATCTTCTGTCTCTTTTGAATTGCCTTTAATTTTTCCCAGCATCAGGATTCTGACTTTTCATTATTTATCTAAGTTTTATTACAAGTAGATCCTTTAATTTTATTGCAGTTCAATGGGTTCTCAACACTTTTTTTTAAATCACCACAATTCAAAGATACTTTTCTTCATTAGCCTATTCTGATGGTCCAGTTTTCATACCCATCTGTTATAACTGGTAACAGAATATACTTTATATAATGGAAGAGCAGGCCAGTTTTGGCACTTTCTCCTTCATTTCTATCACTAGATTTTTAAAGTCTTATTCACTTCCAGCCATCAATATGGTATCATCACTATATTTGAAGTTGGCCATATTTTTTCTGTCAATGTTAATTCCCCCCCCCTTTTTTTAATTATTTTCCCATTTTTAATCCAGGGGTCCCCAACCCCTGGCCCATGAATCTGTACTGGTCCATGACCTGTTAGGAACTAAGCTGCACAGCTGGATGTGACAATGGGTGAGCAAGCGAAGCTTCATCTGTATTTGTAGCCATTCCCCAGTGCTAGCATTATCGCCTCAACTCCAACTGAGGTATTAGATTCTCATTCTACAATAGGAATAGGAACCCTATTATAAACTATGCAGGTGAGGAATCTAGACTGCACACTCCTCCTCCCCCAACTCCCATTCTGTGGAAAATTTGTCTTAGTGCCAAAAAGGATGGCGACCATCCTTGTTAATCCAACATTTTCACATTATATTTTCCATACAAATTAAATTAAAAGGTTCAATCCTAGCATATACTTTTCCCAATTTTCAACCATTTTCAATATTCAATACTAACTGTTTCTTTTTGGGTTATCATATCACTTCTTCCACAGGAGATGAAGGCAACCCAATATAGTGTTTAAAGTATGTCCATAATTTGATGTAATTTTACAAAAATAAAATAGAACAATCTGAATAATTTGAATAATCAATGGCAACTATGGATGTCTTTTTGCAATTCCTAAGCTTTTCCATTATCAACTGGTTAATAGTATGATCTCAAATACCTCCACTTCTTCTGAATCCATCTTGTACATCTGGCAGTTGAAGTTTGTATTACAAACTCTTAACTGCATGTGATGCATGTGCAATTATACGGTTAAGCATTATTTAACACTTTTCTTTTTTGATACTGGAATAGAAATGAGTATTTTCCAACCCTTTTCACCATATCTGTATCCTTATCTGTTTATAAACTGAAGTAGAGTTTTATTCTGTTATTAATAAGCGAGAAATTTTTAGTACTTCACATAGCATTAAAAATATTCTTATAGATTTTAATGGGTATGCCATATGGAAGTATACCTAGAAAAATTGTACCCAGGACTGAACAACCCACTGCTATGGATTTCTCTGTTCTTTGGGATTTTGAGGTAGGTACTTCTTGCATTTTTGTTTAATCTTAGTTCCTCAGTCTTTTATGGCTAAGGGAATGGGCTAAGCAGAAAATATTAAATTTAAGCATAACAAATGAAATGTTACATTACACAATATTGTTACAAAATATATTTATTTAAATGAACTATATATATATAAAACAAGTATCATAGAAATGTACAATGACATAAAGCCTTGTTCAGATTTCATTCTCCTTTGTTAGAGGAATATTGTTTGGGAATGGAAGAGCAGATTATGTATGAATGACACACATACTGTGAATTTGGATTGTGTGATTTGGAATTTGTTTGACGTGGAGCAATACATAGAGCACTGAGACACAAGGTTTAGTGACTATAGAAAAAAATGTGAAAGTGAAATTGCATATTTGTTTAAGGAAGCACATGGAGAAATTGTAGGAAGATTGGAAAGAACTAAAATTGGGTTTAAATCTTTTTTTAAAACGTTCTTTTGATTCACAAGGCAAGAGTTAACCTAACTGTACAGTCTGCAGTAGTGAAAATAAATGTATAAATAATGGTAAATAATGATAATCTCTGATTCCATTGAAGAGGTAGTCTTGCCTCTGTAAAGTAGCTAATGATCTGTTGGTTTATTTATTGGGGTTTACTTATAAAGAAATAAAGTGCTCCAGCCAAAGCTAACAACACTCAAGATGATATATTAAAAAAAAAAATATTTTCAAACTACACAAGAAAATACACTGAGAATCAAATTTGCAATGGGATAGTAGGGAATTAAGGCTCATCCTTTTCTGCCATCAAAACCTGACTTTTCCATTGTGATAATATGGACAACCAATATCATGTCTCTTTCTAACTATAAACTGATGAATTGGCTTTTATTTATACACAAAATCAGCTGCCTGATACACTAGTCATTTAGTTATGAAGAAACATAACTTATGAGCACATTTTCTGTAACTCAAAGTTACAGGTAATCCTCAATTTACAACCATTCGTAACTAGTCTAAGTTACAAAGTTACAAGTTAATAAAAGTGACTTATGACTAGTTTACACAACTATTGCAGCATCCCTGGTTACATGATCAAAATCTGAATACTTGGCAACTGACTCAGATTTATGATAGTGCAGTGTTCTGGGGTTATGTGATCACCTTTTGGGACCTTCTGACAAGTCAAAGTCAAGAGAAAACCAGTGGTGGGATTCAAAATTTCTTACTACCGGTTCTGTGGGTGTGGCTTGGTGGAAATGGCTTGGTTGTGTAGAGCGTTTGCAGCATGACTGCCATTATGAGATAACCCAGGAGCAAAACACAGCACACGGAGACTTACGGTGGTGGTTTATCTACAACAGCTATATACAGCAACATAAATGGTAGGCAAAATACCTTTCAAGCAAACTTTCTTCTTCTTAACTACATGGAAAACTCTGCAATGAATACTGGACACAAGAGAGAGGACATGCCTTCTAAAATGGCTGCCTTATATAAACACCTCTCAAGGGGTAAAACTTCTGTGGATCCATTTTTAGTCTTAAAAGAGCAATACCCATGCTATGCTGATTCATCCTTATTTCAGCAGCCAGACTTACAGCAGCTAGCAGCAATTACTGCTGGTCAGTTCTTAAATCTTAATAAATTAACACTTGGTGAGTATGGCTTGGTGGGCGTGGTAGGGGAAGGTTACTGCAAAATCCCATTCCCTCCCCACCCCACTAACCTGATTTCCAGCTCCATTCTCCTGTGCAGGGCAACAAAAGAAGACCCAGCCAATCAGCTGGGACTCAGGAGGCAGAGAATAGATGGAGGCAGGACAGTCAGAGGTGGTATTTGCCGGTTCTCCGAACTACTCAAAATTTCCACTACCGGTTCTCCAGAACCTGCTGAATACCACCTCTGGAGAAAACAGATTCACTTAACAATTGTATCATTAACAACTACATTGATTCACTTAACAACTGTGGCAAAAAAGGTCAAAAAATGGGGCAAAACTCAATAAATTTCTTACTTAGCACCATAAATTTTGGATTTAATTGTCAATCAATGACTACTTGTATTTCATTATGAATCACCTATTGTATGGTATACCTCAAATAATGAATTGAGAACTTCAAAACTAATAAACATATATGTGTGAATCTGATCATAAGAATTGATTATAGAAATTCTAATACCAGATAGACTATATGTTAGCATTTTATAAAGATCCCTATCTTATGGTACTATCTCTGCAGGTTCACAAAGTTAGCCTATCTGCAGATGCATTGAAGATCAACACAATGTATTTCATAGAGTATATATCATTAAAATTAGATTTAACTGTGAAAAAAATGAATAGTCAGTAATGTTAATAAGTAGGCCCAGCTTCAGGTAGTGTAGATGAGTTAGACTATAACTTAAATAATATTTTCCCAGTGAATCAGTTATATAACAAGATGTCAGACAGGTTTAATTTTAGCTGAAGACATTTATTTTGAAAGAATGTCCTGGAGGCTATAATTTTCATTTTATGCTGGCACTAGAAAAACCCAGAGAAATAACTGATAAGACGTTTCAAGACCACCAAACCAATAAGAATACATAATAATAATAATAAAGGTAGAAAAATTAGGATGTTCTTATTGTTTATTTTATTTTTGCATTTGCAGCATGATAGTGAAAGAACAGATCTAAACAAATCTATGGAAAATATGCTAAAATGATTGTAAGCATGGAACCAAATATAGGGGTATACTGTGTACTCCACTATACAGGTTCTTCCCCTATTGTTTGGAAAAGCAGAAATAGTGCTCTCATGACACAGTTGAGACAACATAATTTGAAGAAACTATTACTTTGAAAAGATATTAACTGACATCTAATACCTACTGATTGTTTGAAAGTTGCTTCTAAAATGGTCCTGAATATCTTTATTGTATCTAGCTGCCAAATCCAAATACTAAAAAGTAATGCTTATTGAATTCAGAGATTTTAAAAAATAAATACATTGAAGATTATACTAAAATTGATATTTACATAGAATGTATTAGATAGACTTCAATAATCAAAATTTTAGAATGAATCCAGTTGGTCCCCAACCAGCCACTCATAATAGCAATAGCATTTAGATTTATATACCACTTTATAGTGCTTTACAGCCTTCTCTAAGAGGTTTACAGAGTCAGCATATTGCCCCCAACAATCTGGCTCCTCATTTTACCCACTTCGGAAAGACGGAAGGCTGAGTCAACCTTGAGCCTGGTTGGGATCTGCCAAATTGCAGTAGGAGTAGCTTGCAATACTGCACTCTAACCACTGCGCAACCAAGGCTCATTAAATGGAATAATGGAATAAGCTTAGATTTTAAATTTATATCAATGGACATCTGATATATTCCTTTCCTCCTTTCAGGGTTATATTAAATATTCAGCCATTTTCTATGGCTACTACAATAATCAAAGGACAATTGGTTGGTTAAAGTACAGGCTACCAATGGCATATTTCATGGTTGGTGTCATCGGCGTGTATGGCTATAGCCTGATGGTTGTAATAAGATCGTAAGTTCTATTTGTTCTTTGTGTAGCTCCATACTATATAGTCTTCCCCTGAAGCAACCATATCTTTTTGTGACTGAATAGAAGAAAGCAGACTGTCAGATCCGTGTATCTGTCATTTCTTCAGTGGAAGAAGAAAAGGGGGGAGAGGCTGATAAAGAAAAAAATTTTTGATGTAACCTGAATATATTTAACCTTATATCAAATTTGTATAACCCACACGATACAATGGAGGGAGAAAAGCCAGATGGCCAGAACCTATCACCTCCGAGAGGCACAGCCAGGAGATGAGAAGATCATAAAAATTCCACAGTGAGATGTATCCAGGGAATCTCTGGAAAAAGTTCGTTCTAAAAAGGGGGTGGGGGAAATTAGGTATGTCCTGGGAAACTGTGAGAAAGATCATTCCTACAGAAGGGGTGGGAGGGGAATTAACATACTGGCTTTTGTTTCTCTAAATACACATCAAGATAAGGGGAGGGGTTCTAAACTCCCTTATGTATCCCTGTATGCCTGAGGGACCTCAGACACTGCTTTGAACTCCTACATGAATTGTCTCATCTCAATAAAGGATTCCTTTTGATATGTTTGGTTCTCAGAAGTTCATTCTTGCTAATTGAATGGGGAAAAATTCTGTAGCCTGACACAGACAAAGATGCACATCTTCAAGATATTGATCTTGCTTTGGCATCAATAACTTTATTTCACTATCCTAGAACATACAAGTCATATACACCAAAATTGAAATTGTCCATTTATTCTATTTTAATCATAAAATCCACGAAATTGGAGAATGCCAGCTTAATCTGAGACTACATGGTAGATTAGTGTGGCATTTATTCAAAGGAATGCCAGAACAGCATAAATGAAGCATTTGTTCATTCATTCATTCATTTTTTTCAGTGTGTCCCTAATTAGTGATAAATATTTTAAAGCTAATTTATGGAATTTTAACAGTGGTATTTTAAAAGGGTAATTTTCACATTCGGAGGCAGCCTAAAGCAGAGAAAGCACAGAAATTACTGCAAAAATTGTGCATAAGAGATACATCTGGTGGTTAAAAAGGCTATATATTATTCCACCTGCAGGATGGCCCAGAATGCCCATGAAGATACAGGGGATGGAGATGATGAGAACTTCATTTTTAGCTGGAAAATGTTCACTAGCTGGGATTTCCTTATAGGCAATCCAGAGACAGCAGATAACAAGTTTGCATCCATCACAACTAGCTTCAAGGTACCCTCCAGGCAAGATGCAAACACTTCTGTCGCATTTTAACTTTGGCAAAATGTCAAAGAAGGAAATATATATATATATTGTACACAACAACTGAATCTTCATATCCAGCATTTTATCAGAGGATGTACAGGTTTTTCTTAACATTGTAGCTACTTGTGTGATCAGTGTCTTCATTGGAAGATTTCGTTGATAATATTATTGCTCTGTATAGTCAATATAGAGGTCCCATGTGACACATTATAAGCAACTCATATTGTTTGCCTTTTTAAAAACACAGGTTTATATTTTCTTTCAATTCAATATTCTCATCAAATATAGACAAACTTTTTAAATACATGCTGGTGGAATTGCTGTAGGTTTTAAGGCCCCTAAATTTTTATCTTTAACTTTGCATGGAGATGTACTTTCAGTCAAAATTGGTGTGCAATTTGGAGATCTTCCTGGACTTCTCAGCTCTTGCTCAAAGCACAAATGGCAACTATGGCAAGAGGTGGCATTTGCATTGATTTGCCTTGTATACAATTGCACTCATCCCTGTGCCAGGTGATAACTCAGTCATGCACAGTTTGGATTATTGTAATGTTCTCTATATAGTACTGCTATTAAAGAGCAATCATGAGCTACAGCTGGTCCAGAATGCTACAGCATCAGTATTTTTTGGTATTTCTTGTTATGCCTATGTAACCACTGCTGCGCTGACTCCTAATAGACTTCTGGGTATGATTCAAGGTGCTGGTCATTATCCATAAAGCCATCCATGGCATAGAGCCAGGCTACTTATAGCAGGTGGCTCAGTGGCTAAGATGCTGAACTTGTCAATCAGAAAGGTCGGCAGTTCAGTGGTTCGAATCCTGTGTAATGGAGTGAGCTCCCATTACTTGTCCCAGCTTATGCCAGCCTAGCAGTTCAAAAGCATGTAAAATGCAAGTAAAAAAAATAGGGACCACTTTGGTGGGAAGGTAAGAGCATTCCGTGTGCCTTCAGCATTTAGTCATGCCGGCCACATGATCATGGAGATGTCTTTGGACAGTGCTGAGTCTTTGGCTTTGTAATGGAGATGAGCCGGAAACCCCCTAGAGCCGGAAACAACTAGCATGTATGTGTGAGGGGAACCTTTACCTTTACCTTACTTATAGAATCGTCTTTTTCTTATTGTTTCTGCCATCAAATTTAGTAGAGAGGGTCTGATCCAGGTTCCTTCTATTAAACAATGTTATTGTGTTGGATCATGGAATTGTGCCTTCTCAGTGGCAGTGCCTTTCCTATAGAATAGCATTCTTGAAAAATCAAGAAAACCTAGATATTGAGTAATGTGGATCTTAGGAGGAAGCAGTTGCACTAATTTCATCCTCATTATCCCTTTTCTAAAGAAGAAACATGCATATAAGTAGATAGAAGAACCAGCTCCAGCAATCTTCAAATCTTTTTTTGTTCATTTGTAATCAAAATAAACTCAGTTTTTGTATATCACTATATTCATCTGCATTATAAGATTGTAACAAGAAAGCAGCCATAGAATATAAAAACTAGTTATAGCTGATTATAAAAAGTATTATCCAGTTGATACATACTACAATATATATTATTAAAAACAGCACCCTTTGTTAAAAAATCAGAACTGTATTTGTTTTGCAAATGAATGTGTGTTTTTTCATATACAATGGTTTGCACATCCTGAAAATTTGTAAGTCTGAATATAATGTGTAATATTTTCTGTAACATTTGCATAGGGCTACACTCTGAATAATTATTCACATTGTTTCCTACATTTATTAAGGAGTCAATTGTGGATGAGCAAGAAAGCAACAAAGATGAAAACATCCATCTAAGAAGATTTCTGAGGGTTTCGGCCAATGTACTTATAATATGTTGCTTATGTGGAAGTGGCTACCTCATTTATTTTGTTGTGAAACGATCCCAGGCCTTTTCAAAATTGCAAAACATTGGCTGGTATGAAAGAAATGAAGTAAGACAACATTGTTTTAAAAAAATTGTATAGTACTGGCATCAGGGGTGGGATTCTACCGGTTCAGACTGGTTCTATGGAACTGGTTGTTATGATTCTGTGCAGTTTGGAGAACCGGTAAATCATGCCCCTAGTTAGCCCCGCCCCTCTCCTACTGCCCCCTCCTCCATACCCAGTCAGTCCTCATTGCGCATTCACATCATTGTGTGCATCCCCAACATCGCTGACTGCATTCTTCCCCGTCCAGTCACTCCTTAAGGTATTTCTTTTTTCCCCTCCTGACGATCAGCTGTTCCTATGATCAGTTGTGCTGGGATTCCCCTTGCTTATTGCTTATTGCAGCACCCCACCCCGAGCTCCTCCATTTTTTGCCTTCCTGGGCCCCAAGGAAGTTTCCTGGGAGCAAAAATGCCCCCCAGGAGGCTTCCCTGAGGCCCAGAATGCCCTAAACTGGAGTGCAGGGGTGTCATGTGCACCTCCTTTGCTCCATTTTTTTCCTTCCTGAGCTTCAGGGAAGGTTTTGGAACCAAAACGCCCCCCAGGAGGCTCCCACAAGGCCCAGGAGGCCCCAAAAGGGAGCGCAGGGGGGTGCTGTGTGCCCCACATGGTCTGTTTTTTTCCTTCCTGAGCCCCAAGGAAGCCTTCTAGGAGCAAAAATGCCCCCCAGGAGGCTTCTCTGAGGCCCAGAAGGCCCAAAAAATGAGAGGGGTGCTGCCAAAGAAGATGCCAGACCCACCCAGTTACATGGCTATGCCCACCTAGCCACACCCACAGAACTGGTTGTTACAAAATTTGAATCCCACCCTGACTGGCATTGCTTCTGTTGCCCACTTCGAACAAAAGTTATCTTTTCCTGATTGTACTTCAATTGCTTTTAGCTTTTATTAGTATCTTCAAGACCATCTCTTTTCAATTGAATCCACCTATCTGGGCATGTGATCCAGGAGAAGATGTTCAGAATCCACCCTCCAAGAAAGATAGAGAGCCTTAAAATGATTGCTGGATCTCTTGAATAGCTTTTTTCCAGGTGTTCTGGTTGCACTTGCTTTGCTATCATTTAGAAAACAGTAAAAATTCTTCAATTTTGTAGAAAGGAACTGTTAATATTGCTTTTTATGGGATAGGAGGATAAAAGTGAAGCTCTTATTAATATTAAAGTCACTCTCATTCTGGTCTTCATTTTTCAGCATGGACAGAATTTGGGAGCGCATGTTGTAGGACAGCTTATGGAGGCAATAATAGAGCCCACTTTCACTTTTATACAAGAGTGTCTGTAAGGCATGGTCATTAAAGTCAAGGTGATGGCTGCAGTAGTATAATTAAAGCTTCTAATATTACTGTTAGAGTTTGCAACAATCCAACCAGCCCCCAAGTAAATAATTAAGCAGGATTCATTTATAGACATGCTTATACACAATAATATAAAACATGATGCATATATATAATACCCATACAGCTCTTGCAATGTGGTAGCAAGAAGCAGAAGCCAGAACCACCAGAACTCTGAATCACAGAACCTCTATATCTATACAGATCAGTTGCCCTAAACCATGCCCAGGCTCCGAGCTGTCTGACATGGCTTAAAACAGTTCCCATTGGCTGACTTGTTGTTATGGCTATCCGTTATAGCCATGACATCCCATCCTTTAACCTTTGCTAGCCCTGTGATAATGCCATTTAAGTGAAGAGTTTCCAGGATGCCCAGTCAGCAGCTGATGTACTTAGCTGATCCCATTGTGACAAAATATGTCTTTTCCTTTTTGGCAGGTTGAAATTGTTATGTCGCTACTTGGAATGTTTTGCCCTCCACTGTTCGAAACTATTGCAGCTTTAGAAGATTATCATCCTCGCATTGGGCTGAAATGGCAACTGGGACGGATTTTTGCACTTTTCCTGGGGAATCTATACACATTCTTATTGGCCTTAATGGATGATGTCAAGGAAAAGGTGAAGAATGTAAAAGTACATGCACTAGTATCAGCCTTCCATTTTATATAATAGTGCCCCTTATTTCATAACTCACTATTAGCTTTTCCTTTTTAAACTGCTTTAATAGGAGAAAAAATATATAAAATCTGGCTGCACAAATGAGTGATATGGAAAACCTTCTTATTTTGGATTTATGAAAGGAATGTGTACAATACCAGAAACTCTTTCTTAGAAGAGTAAAGATTTCAGATTTCAGATTAAGAGAGTTGGAAGAGATCTTGTAGATCATCTAGTCCAACCACCCAAGCAGGAGATCCTACACCATTTCTGACAAATGGCAATCCAACCTCTTCTTGAAAGTCTCAAGTGATGAAGCTCCCATAACTTCCGAAGGCAAGCTGTTCCATTGGTTGATTGTTCTCACTGTCAGAAAATTTCTCCTTATTTCCAGGTTAAATTGCTTCTTGTTCAGTTTCCATCCATTATTCCTTGTCTGGCCTACAGGTGCTTTAGAAAATAGCTTGACCCTTTCCTTTCTATGGCAGCCCCTCAAATATTGGAAGACTGCTTTAATGTCTCTCCTGGTCCTCCTCTTCACTAGACTAGCCAAGCCCAGCTCCTGCAACTATTATGTTTTAGTCTCCAGTCCCCTACTCATCCTGGCTGCTCTTCTCTGCACTTTTTCTAGAGTCTCAACATCTTTTTTATAGCATGGTGACCAATACTGAATGCAGTACTCTTGGTGTGGTCTTACTAAGGCTTTATAGAGTGGTATTAGTACCTCACTTGATCTTGATTGTATCCCTCTGTTAATGCAATTTAGGATTGCATTGGCTTTTTTGGTTGCCACTGCACACTGCTGGCTCATATTTAGCTGATTGTCCACTGAGACTCCAAGATCCCCCTCACAGTTATTGCTATTAAGCCTGGTTTCACCCAATCTATATGTGTGCTTTTGGGTTTTCTTGCCTAAGTGTAGAATTTTATTTTTCTTTATATTGAATTTCATTTTATTAGATATGGCCCAGTGTTCTAGTCTGTCAAGATCCATCTGGATCTTGAGCCTATCTTCTTGGGTGTTAGCTATTACTGCCAGCTTAGTATCATCTGCACATTTAGTAAATTATCCTTCTATTCCCTCATCTAAGTTGTTTATTAACATATTGAGAAGTCCTGGACCTAAGATGGAACCTTGTGGCACCCCACTGTTCACTTCCCTACATGTAGACTTAGACCCATTAAGGACTACTCATTGAATACAGTTTGTCAGCCACTTGCGAATCCATCTGGAGGTGATTCTATCTATCCCACTTTTTTCTAGCTTACCAAGATGGAGGTCTACTTTGTTGAATGCCTTGCTGAAGTCCAAGTATATTATGTCCACAGTATTTTGCTGGTCTACTAATTTAGTCATTATGTTGAAAAATGAAATAAAATTTGTTTGGCATGATCTATTTTTAACAAACCCATGCTGACTGCTAGTTATTATTTTACTTGTTTCTAGATGTTGTCAGATCTTTTTTTTTTTTTTGAAGATGGGAACCACATCAGCTCTTTTCCAGTCCTTTGATAGTTCTCCAGTGCTCCAGGATTTTTGAAAGATGTGATGCAGTGGTTCTGAGATGACCTCTGCCAGCTCCTGTAGAACTCTGGGGTATAATCTGTCAGGTCCTGGTGATTTGTGGTCATTGAGATCAAACAGGTGTTTTTTTGTTTAGTTTAACTTTTATTTCTAGTCTGTCTTTTACAATTATGTTTTTGGTAGTTTCTTTTTGCACGAATACGAATGCAAGGAATGAGTTAAACAGCTCTGCTTTTATTTCCTTACCATCTTCTCTCTTTAGTGGTCCAACCGTTTCCTTGATTTTTTTTTCTTGTTATTTATACGTTGGAAGAAACTTTTTTTATTATGTTTGATTTTTGTTGCAAGTCTTTGTTCATTCTGAGCCTTTGCTTTCCTGGCTTCATCTTTGCAGATTCTGGCTATCTGCTGATATTCTGCCTTAGTTGTGTGTCCCTCTTTACATTTTTTGTACTTGTCCTTTTTGTCTTTTAACTTGTCAGAGAGATCTTTCTGCAGCCATGCTGGTTTCTTTTTGGATTTCCTGTTTTTCTTTCTCAGTGGTATTGTGTTGGTCTGAGCTTTGATGATCGTACTTTTCAGAGTTTCCCAAGATTCTTGAGTCATTTTCCTCTTTAGGATTTTCATCTAAGGAATTTTTCCCAAGTTCTCTCTGAGTTTATTGAAATCAGTTCTTTTAAAATCTAAGGCTCCGGTGTAATTATGTTCTGTTCCTTGTGTTTGTGTTATGTTGAATTCTAGTATGGCATGATCACTCTCACACAAGGTTCCTGCAGTTTCAACTCCCTCTATAATTTCTTCTCTGTTTGTAAGTATTAAGTCTAGTTATGGCTGTCCCTCTAGTTTCCTCCTCTACCTTTTGGACAACAAAGTTGTCAGCTAGGTTGGTTAGGAACCTATTTGATTTCTCACTTGGTGCAGAATTAGTTTTCCAATTGATATCAGGGTAATTGAAGTCCCCCATTACTTTTGTAGTGTGTTTCCTACATAAATTTGTTAGTTGGTTGGCAAAAAGGACATCTATTTTTTTCTGTTTGACTGGGTGGCCTATACCAGTGGTGGTATTCAGCCAGTTCACACCAGTTCGGGCAAACCAGTAGCAAGGATTTGGCATAGGTCGCCGAACCGGTAGTAAGTTCTGGCTGGCCATACCCCCGACCCGGTTGCCCAGTCACTGCTGGATCGCTTGCCCCACCTGTCTAATGCTCACTCATCCCACCCACCTGACGCTTGCCCCTTAAGGTATTTCTTTTTTTTCCCTCCCAACAATCAGCTGTTCATATGACCAGTATGCCACGATTCCCCTTCCTGAGCCCCAGGGGAGCCTTCTGGGAGCAAAAACACTCCCCAGGAGGCTTGCCTGAGGCCCAGGAAGCCCCAAAATGGAGTGGGGGGGTACTGTGTGCTCCCTCCAGGCTCCATTTTTTTTCTTCCTGAGCCCCAGAGGAACCTTCTGGGAGCAAAAACGCCCCCCAGAGGCTCCTCTGAGGCCAGATGGCCCCAAAATGGAGCTGGGGGGGTACTTTGTGCCTCCTCCAGCCTCCATTTTTTTCTTCCTGAGCCCAGTGGAGCCTTCTGGGAGCAAAAACATCGTCCCCCCCCAGGAGGCTTGCCTGAGGCCCAGAAGGCTCAAAAAATAGGTTGGGGGTGGCTGTAAAAAAGCAAAAAAAAAAGCCATGCCCACCCTCTCACATGGCCACACCCACCTAACCACACCCACCAAGCCATGCCCACAGAACCAGTAGTAAAAAATTTTTTAATCCCACCACTGGCATACACCTATGGCTATGTCATTCTTTTTTTCTTTTATATTGACCCATATACATTCTAGAAGGTTTTTGTCTTTGGTTTCATGTATTTCTATAGTGGTTCTTTACACACAGTGCAACCTCCTCTTTTATGGTGTCTGGGTTTTTATTTTTTTTGAACAGTTTGTATCCTTCTATCTGTATGTTCCAGTTATGGATTTCATCCCACCAAGTTTCTGTTATTCCAACTATATCATATCTGCCTTCATGTATTAGTTGTTCAAGTTTACCCTGTTTGTTCCCCAGACTGCACATTTGTATATAGGCACTGGATATGCTTTCTTTGTCTCTTATTTGGTGTATGAGTTTGTCTTCCTTCCCCTCTTTACTTCATTATTTGACTTGCTTTCTAGGTGTTTTTGCTTGGAATTAGGTCCTGGAGATCCTAAAGATTGGTCACTGTCAGTCTTTAAGACTCCTTTTGGCTGCCATAGTAATGGTGGAGGGTGAAATAATTGGGCTTTCTGGGGGTAGGAAATGTACTGGAGGTTTTAGAGAATGAACTGTATAACTTGGGGAAAACTTTATTGTTTATGCCTACTAGGTTGCTTATTGTGCAACTGCAGCTCTTTATCAAACTAGGCCAAGGTCAACAGCCATTTGTCTGCATCACCACCTGAAGATGCCCCACATGACATTATACACATCTTCGATTGGACCGTTTGAACTAGGGTGGGAACATTGCTATCACTTTGAATATGTGTTTTTCATTCATGCTCAGATCTAGAATTCCTTTGATGGTACCACTTGATTTCCAGTAAAAGTTTCTTTTCTCTATAATAATAGAGTCTAAGAGTGTCTTTTTTGGATTTTGAATGGAGCACCATCTGACAGTCACCCTCTCCTCTCAATTTTAGTTTAAAGCCCTCTTGATTAAGTTGAGCTAGTCTTTTTCCAAAAACATTCTTCCCAATCTTTAGGAGGTGCAGCCCATCCCTTGCCAGAAGCCCATCATGGAGATAGTATAGGCCATGGTCTAGGAATCCAAAGTTTTTTTGTCAACACCAACCCTTTAGCCAGTGGTTTACTTCTAGAATTCTTTGTTCTCTTACCAGATGTCCTTTCATTGGCAGTACAGATGAAAAAACTACTTGTGCACCTAAATCCCTGACTCATAATCATTCAATATTGTTTGCAAGTCCTTTTTTGTGTCATTTGTCCTTATATGTAATAATAAAAAGGGGTAATAGTCTGTGGGTTTTATTATTTTGGTTAGGTTCTGTTGTGTCCGTCGGAAGGGAGACTCGGGAGCCAGTGACTTAGTTCAACTCTTTATTAAGTTCCGAGATCGGCTCGGCGTACAGAAGAAAAGCGGCGGCTTTTATTCTCTGGCCGCGGCCAATGGCACCGCTTTGAATCTCCCGCGATTAGTTTCCACCAATCGCGGGGGATTCGCGGTGGGCCAATCAGTGCGGCTTGCTCAGCCAATCAGGTTGCTGTGCGTTCTGACCAATCACAGCGCGGCGCTTGCGAGTATGTTAATGGATCGTACAGAACAGGTTCTCTGCCACATCTTTGATTTTAGCTCCAGGGAAACAACATACCTCTCTGGATAGACTGACTGGTCTACAGATGGCAGGTTCTGTTTCCTTGAGAATTGAATCTCCTATCACTAGTACTCGCCTTTT